TTTGGAGTCTTAGCAGCTTATTTAACTTAAAATCTGCCTCCATGATGATTTTACCAGAATAACAGATATTAAACCCTCCAGGAAAATGTTTTTAAATGGAGTTTTCTGGTAGAGAGAATTCTTCTACAGACTTTCTCTTACCTGCTGATAGAGACAGAAAGCTATTTATGTCAACTCTTTACATGCTATGTCCCATTAAGGTACGTGCCATGGCTGTCGCTTATTTCTGCAATTGTGGCTTTCAGTCCAAATTCCTATTATATTTAGCGCATCAGCATTCCCTGTTTGGTAGAATAGGCCTACTGAGGTTTAGCAGGGGTTTGAATTTTTTAAACTTAAATATTGATGCCCGCTGTCTGAATTTGAGCCCCTTATTTTCTCTCCATCCATCAATCATTCATAGCTTTAAGATACCTGTGTTTCCCCTTGCTGTTTCCTGATACCAGCTGATACCTGAGATGTTATTCAATAGAACCCAAGAGTCCAGGAATTTAAGCTTGCTTTGGTATATGTGAGACCTTCTCAAGCCATTTCTCTTCCTCTCCACCCTGCTCAAATTCAAATCAGAACTACAGGATAACAGAGCTGGAAGGGACCCCGGAGGTCTTCTAGGCCCTCCTATACCATTCCAGACAAATAGCTGTCCATCTCTTCTTAAAAACGTACAGCGATAGAGCACACACAATATCTGGAGGCAAGCTGTTCCATTGATGAATTGTTCTCTCTGTCAGGAAATTTCAGAATAACAGAGTGGGGGGGGGGGGGCTTTGGAGGTCTTCTAGTCTAACCTCTGCTCTCCTTGTTTAGTTTCCATCCGTTGTCCCTTGTCTTGCCTTCCAGTGCTTTGGCAAACAGGTTGACCACAATAGGTTGGAAGGGACCTTGGAGGTCTTGTGGTGCAACTCCACAAGAAGGAGACCTTTCCAGACAAATGGCTGTCCAGTCTCTTCTTAAAAGCCTCCAGTGATGGAGCAACCACAACTTCTGAAGGCGTCTACTGGTTAATTGTTCTCACTGTCAGGACGTCTCTTCTTAGTTTTAGGTTCCTTCTCTCCTTATTTAATTTCCATCCATTGTCCCTTGACTTGCCCTCTAGTGCTTTGGAAAATAGGTTGACCACTTCTCCTTAGTTCTGGGATGGATTGGTCTTTGTTAAGCTTCCAACCGTTCCTTCTCGTCTTGCCTTCAGGTATGCCCATCTTCCCTTGTAGAGAAGTTTTCTCCAACCTGGTCCCATCCATGTATTAAAAGTAAATGCATGCCAAAGTAGGCTTCACTTTCAGATGACCTCATGGACACGTTCATATGGCTGTCTTGGCACAAACAGAACAGTAGCTCATCATGATCTTCTTCCAGGACGTTCTTTCAACTTCACAGTCTGGCCTTCAGCCCTGAGATTTCCTACCGTGTCTCCCCAAAAATAAGACAGGGTCTTATTTTCTTTTGACTCCCAAAATAAGCACTTGGCCTTATTTTCGGGGAGATCTTATTATTTTTGAGGAGGTGGTGACCATGCTCTCCTCATGGCTGCTGCTGTGTTGCAATATTTTGGGGGAGGGCTTATTTTAGCGCAGGCACTCAAAAGCCTGGTTGATCTTATTATCCGAGGAGGTCTTGTNAGGGTACAAATAAGCAATCAGGAAACAATATCAATATAAATTGTAAGGATACAAGCAACAAAGTTACAGTCCTACAGTCATAAGCAGGAGGAGATGGGTGATAGGAACGATGAGGAGACTAATAGTAAGGCAGCCTTAGTAAATAGTTTGACAGTGTTGAAGGAATTTGTTATTTAGCAGAGTGATGGCGTTCAGGGAAAAACTGTTCTTGTGTCTAGTTGTTCTGGGGTGCAGGGCTCTATAGCGTCATTTTGAGGGTAGTTGAACAATTTGTGTCCAGGATGTGAGGGGCCTGTAATGTTTTCACGGCGCTCTTTTTGACTTGTGCAGTGTACAGGTCCTCAATGAAAGGCTGGTTGGTAGTCCTGTACATTGTTGTACAGGAGACATACTGTATGAATAGTCTGTTTTTCATGTCAGCATTTAACTTGTTTGATTGTATTATTCATCTTCTTGTGTGAAGTCTTGTGGGCACATTATTTATGTGTATGGTGTCAGGTCTGATGAATCACAACCACACTTTTAGCTCCAAATAAAGCTGATTTATTGTCCATACCTATGCACAAGAATCTAGTCAATTAACAGCACTAAGTTGGTGCGAAATAAGATTTAATTGAATTTAAAAGAGTTGGGCTTAGAACATTTGCAGGAATGTAAGGCTGATTCCTCTCTTGACTCTACCTCTAGACTCGGCCTCTCCTGCAATAGCTGTTTTTAAAAGAGATATGGTGGCTTTCTCTTCCCTCATGTCTTTATGTCTTTCTGTAAAGAAAGTTTAGAGAAGGAATTACCAAATAATAACCCCATAAGGCCTTTGGACTCTGGTGCTGGAGAAGACTCCTGCAAGTCCCTTGGACTGCAAGGCAATCAAACCGGTCAGTCCTAGAGGAGATCAACCCTGATTTCTCTTTAGAAGGCCAGATCCTGAAGATGAAACTCAATGGCCACCTAATGAGAAGGAAAGACTCACTGGAGAAGAGCCTAATGCTGGGGAAGATTGAGGACAAAAGAAGAAGGGGACAACAGAGAATGAGGTGGCTGGATGGAGTCACTGAAGCAGTAGGCATGGATTCACCGACAAATGCGCGCTCAACAAAAGNGCATATTACGAAAATACATTACGACGTCCTAGACCCCTGGGTGAGGCCCGACTAGTAACCAATGCCAAATCCGGTGAAACAACTGGCCACTGTGATACAATTGTATAATAATTATTATTATTTCATTAAACATGAAACTCATCCAACTGAACATTCAAAAATGCATCACAAATATCATTGACTGGTGCTAATGGTTGATACGGGTTGCTGCCAGTGTCCTAGGTATCAACCAAGTATCTTCTTAAAATATACGATGTTCCGAGTAGCACAGTTTTTTGCAGTTCTTTGGTGTTTATTGCAGGAAGCTGCAATTTGTTGATATAAAATTCTTGGACATGATACCAAGTGCCCCAATGACAATGGGTACCACTGTTACATGCTTCATCCATAGCCATGGATGGCTGGGCCGCGATATTTCGTTCATCGAAACTACTACACGGGTATGGATGAAACCTGTAAAGTGATACCAATGGTCATCATCATCATTATTATTATGAGTAGGGTCAAAATGCAAAGAACAGTGGTGCTTTCTTGTAAAGTAGAAAAATCTAAAATGAAAATTGAAAAAAGCATGGCCAGGTTACATCATTTATTTCCACTTAGGGAATCATGACCATTATTATTCAATTTAGTTACTTCCTGGTTTCTTTTTTTTCTGTTATCTCCAAGTTAGTATTGACTCCTGCTTGTATTCCGTTCTATTTTCAGATAATTATCCTACTGATAAGTCACCTTATTTTGATAAAGAACTTTTGAGAGCACTAATCGGTTCCATTAACATTACATGCCTAAAGCATTATCTTAATTTTTAGGACTGCCTTTGAGTCAATGTTGACTCCTGGCAACTCCCTAGACAAGTTTATGAGATTTTCTTGGCAAGATTTCAGAAATGGTTTGTCAATGCCTCCTTCCTAGGGTTGCAGAAATTGACTGGCCCAAGGTCATCCACCTGACTTGGCACCTAAGTTTGGACTAGAACTCACAGTACCCAGGTTTTAGCCTGGTACCTTAACTACTACACCAGGCTGGCGCTCGTACATTTTTAACCCTTTTAATTTTATGTAATTTTAATGCTGTAGTGAAATAATTTATTATTCCTCAGTCTGCGGCTCTTACTTCTATTTCTCATTTGAATCAGTTCCACATTTTGATGTGTTGGCTTTGTTGGTATTTGAATTATTGTTCAGTTTTTATTGTGCAATTTTAATAGGCTGTAAGCTTCCTTGGGGAAATTCAGTTTCAAAGGGCAGCTTGTGCTGCCCTTTTTTATGCTGCCATTTTTTAAAAGAAAAAAAATGAATAATTGGCCCAAAAAGAATCAATATTTTAGGAGGTTCCCTATATAGTTTTGTATACTGTAGCAAAGGGGCAGGAAATGGATCACAGTGATAAGAAGGTGGCAGTGGGTGGGTAGGTAGGTGGGTGGGTGTTAGTGTTCAAACACATTTGAGTTTTCTGTCTCCATCTTCTTGAAATCTCTAAATGAGTAAAGATTTGCTTTGCTTGTTCTGCCCTTCCATCTTTCCTCTCACCCTCCCTCCCTGTTATTACGCTCCTCCCTCTGTTCTTCCTTCCTCCCCCTCCCTCAAGGGCTAAGGCAGGACTTCCATCAGACCCTCCCTCACTCTCATTATAATCCCTTCCTTCCTTCCTCCCCCTCCCACCTCCCTCCCTCCTTTCAAGTGTTAAGCCAGGATTTCCCTCAGACCCTCCCTCAGTCTCCTAATCTCCTTCCTTCCTCCCACCCTCCCTCTCCCTCCCACCTCCCTCCCTTCAAGTACTAAGGCAGAACTTCCCTCAGACCCTCCCTCAGTCTCATTATAATCCCCTCCCTCCCTCCTTCCTTCCTCCCCCTCCCACCTCCCTCCCTCCCTTCAAGTGTTAAGGCAGGACTTCCCTCAGACCCTCCCTCAGTCTCCTAATCTCCTTCCTTCCCTCCTTCCTTCGTTCCTTCCTTCCTCCCTCCCTCCCTCCCTCCCTCCCTCCCTTTCATCAGAAATCATTTCACATCCCAATAAACTTTTTATTCCATTCAAGGGAAAATTGTTCCAATTGCTAGAACAGGCCAGCTTGATTTCTAGCCTTATAGTAGATGTTCGAGTTTGTTTATTTTTCTTCTTCCCCTCCCAGTCTAAAACTTTTAACTCAGGGAAGCAGCTGGTTTAACTAAACTTGTGTCTAAGAGAGCTGACAGAAAGCCCTTCTGTTTGTCTAAGCCCTTCTGTTTGTCTAAGATGGACCCTATAATGATACTCTTCCCCTCTCCCTTTCTCTTCCCTAGATGCAGCAGCTCTTTTATGAAAACTATGAGCAGAACAAAAAAGGTTACATCAGAGACCTGCACAACAGCAAGATCCACCGTGCCATCACTTTGCATCCGAACAAAAGTCCACCTTACCAATACCGGCTTCACAGCTACATGCTGAGTCGTAAAATAGCAGAGCTACGATACCGGACCATTCAGCTGCACCGCGAGATTGTCCTCATGAGCAAATACAGCAATACCGAAGTACGTCGAGAGGACCTTCAGCTGGGAATCGCACCGTCCTTCATGCGATTCCAACCACAACAGCGCGAGGAGGTTTTGGAGTGGGAATTCCTGACGGGGAAGTACCTGTACTCTATGGTAGACGGGCAGCCGCCTCGCCGAGGCATGGACTCCTCCCAGCGTCAGGCCTTGGACGATGTTGTGATGCAAGTCATGGAGATGATCAATGCCAACGCCAAGACTAGGGGACGGATTATCGACTTTAAGGAGATACAGTACGGCTATCGAAGAGTGAGTCCCATGTACGGGGCCGAGTACGTCCTTGACTTGCTCCTTTTGTACAAAAAGCACAAGGGGAAGAAAATGACCGTCCCTGTCCGGCGACATGCCTACCTACAACAGACCTTCAGCAAAGTCCAGTTTATGGAGCCTGATGAAATGGATGCCAAAGACCTGGCCAGCAAAATCAACCAGGATTCAGGATCCTTGTCTTTTCTCTCCAATTCTCTTAAGATGTTCGTCCCGTTCCAGTTGAGCAAGTCCAAATCTGAGAAGACGGAATCCAAAGACCAAAAGATCAACATCTTAATCCCTCTTTCGGGACGCTTCGATATGTTTGTGCACTTCATGGCCAACTTTGAAAAGACCTGCCTTATTCCTAATCAGAATGTCAAATTGGTTGTCTTGCTATTCAACTCCAACTCCAATCCCGATAAGGCACGTCAGGTGGAACTGATGAGAGAGTATCGTATGAAGTACCCCAAGGCTGACATGCAGATTTTACCCGTTTCTGGAGATTTTTCCCGTGCTCTGGCCCTCGAAGTCGGATCTTCTCAGTTTAACAATCGGTCCCTGCTCTTCTTTTGTGACGTTGACTTGGTTTTCACTGCCGAGTTCCTCCAACGGTGTAGAGCCAACACAATGATAGGGCAACAGATTTATTTTCCGATCATCTTTAGCCAGTATGATCCAAAGATTGTCTATAGCGGAAAAGTTCCGAGTGAGAATCACTATGCTTTCACGCAGAAAACTGGTTTCTGGAGGAACTACGGTTTCGGAATAGCTTGCATTTACAAGGAGGATTTAATTCGGGCAGGGGGGTTTGATGTTTCTATTCAGGGCTGGGGTCTTGAGGATGTGGATTTGTTCAACAAGGTGATTCTATCTGGGCTCAAGACGTTCAGGAGCCAAGAAGTTGGTGTAGTCCATGTACATCACCCGGTCTTTTGTGACCCAAACCTGGATCCAAAGCAATATAAAATGTGTTTGGGCTCGAAAGCATCAACGTACGGTTCTACGCAGCAACTCGCTGAGCTGTGGCTTCAGAAACATGAACCAAATTTTGGGAAGAACACAGTTGCTAATGGTTCCTTGAGGACAGCTTAATATCCCGGGAAAAGGGGAGATTTAGGAAAAAAGAAAGACACTGTAATTGCATTTTTTTAAAAAAAACTACCCTAATTTATTTTTTCCTTTGGGGAAAATGTTTTGATAGTTGATTTTTTAAGATGACCACACAAGGGTATATTTTAAAAATCCATCGTTTTTCTTACGAGGACCTTTCCAGCTTTTTTTCTGAACAAAACTGTGATCAAACTTTTGCCTTTTGGGAAAATAAAATAATAATAATAATAATGACTGGGGCTAAATATGAGGACTTTGCCTGGTTCTGACAACTTGAAATAATTATCTTTTTGTTGTTGTTGTTGACTGAGAAACGGACCAAATACGTTAATAAAGTAGAAGGAAGCTCAGAATTTCTACACACGGTACTTCTCCATAGTGAGGGGAGGAGTATCCAGGATGGGTTGACCTTATCCTCTCGTTGATTGGACTGAGTCAAATAAGCTCTTGGTATACGCCCCTGGTCCACCAGGCTCCGCCCAGTTATCGACTCAGTCCCTCAACTGGATGGTTTGCCATCCTGGATCTCCGATAAATTCGAAGAAATCTAAAGAAAGCGAAAGNCATCATCATCATCATCATCATCATCATCATCATCATCATCATCATCCACTCTAATAGTCCCTATCCTTGCAAGAAGCAGATGTATGAATGCTGTATGCTAGCAAAATATTGAAGATCTGCAGTTGATCAGGAACTCTGAAATGAAACTGAGCTTTTCCATATAATTTGGTCTTTGTCCAAAGACAGAATTCCCTCTAGAGCAGGGGTGTCAAACTCAAGGCCTAAATGTGGCCCATGGGGTGCTTAGATCTGGCCAATTTACATTGAACTGGGCAAGAGCGCATGGGCTGCATGCGGTTTGCAAACTGGCAGTAATATCGGCAGCAACTCTCCCCTGTGGCAGAGGGTTGCAGGAGGCCATCGCAGCTGGAAATAGAGCTCACAAGGGCCACATGTTGCCTCCCCAAGCTCTGTTTCAGAGGGTTGCAGGAGGCCGATGCAGCAGAAAATGGAGCTCGGGAGCCCATTTTCACATGCAGAGCTCTCAGGCCACGACATGCGTCCCCGACATGAGTGATGTTGAACTGGCCACACCCACCCTGTCCACGCCCTCCCCCTGCCCTCCCAAGATCAAACATATCCCTGATGAGTCCCTCAGTCAAGTTTGACACCCCTGCTCTAGAGCCATTTGGGCCTGTTGATTGAGCTCATGCTTCCATAAAGCAGCTAAGCTGCTATAATGGAAGTTGCATCTTTCATGTTAAGCATTAGGGATTTTTTTGGCTGCTCAGGGGAAACAAATTAGGAATCCATTCAGTGCGAGGCAAGTAAAATTTGGTTCAGCTGATTGCTAGGTGAGGTTCTCTGGATGAGCCATGCCAGAGGGGCAGGAATTCCCACAAGAATCAGATGAAAAATGACAGGGTCGTTGGCAGTAAATGAAAACTAATTGCTTTTATGTTGGAAGCCAAGGGAAGAGTACATTTTTCCCTCGCCACAAAATGTAATTATACTTTGAAACATAGGATTGCTACGAATAATTATTGGAAAAGGGAAAAAATGCTGACAGATGTGGTACTCAAATGAATCCTTGGCTGCTGAATTATTTGATCTTAACTAGGTGCCAAGCTTTGCTTTGGTTGATGGCATGATTCGTCTCATAATCATAATCATAATTTTGCAAGCCTNATTTCACCCCCCAGGCAAGGGATGGAACATCTGGACCATCTTTGGGAGGGAGCATCAATAGCCACTCGGTCTATTATTAAAATAAACTGAGATTCCAAAGATCTTGCAAGACCTACAATGACTTGTACCAGAGAAAGTCTGCAGAAATCCCAATGATCGTAGATGGGAGCCAAGGTTTTTTTTTTTTTTTACCTCATGTTGTTGTCTGTTGCTTGGATTTTTGCAGACCAAATCTGCTACCCCTAGCCATGATACATGATTGATGATTAAGGGCCATAGGAGACTTTCTGGAGCCATTCTTGGTTGGTATCAGTTTACAGTAAATTAAAATTAAACCACCTTATTTCAAGCATAGCCACTTACTTCCCTCAAGTGCAACTCCTGATAGATTCCAGAGATGCAGATGCAACTTGCAGTCACAAAGGTTTGTGCAACCATGGACCTTGCGGTTTCATTCCTGTAAGTCATGCTCAACTGATGTTAGATGTTCCATCATAGCTCACAGTTCAACTTGGCATGCAGAAAACCAGCATACCAAATCAAAGATTTCAGGCACAACTTTGCTGCCACATTCACCCCCCCTCTCTCTTTTTTTTTTTTAAAGAAAAGAAGCATTAAGACACATTACCTGCATTTTATCCCAACTCAGGAAAACACAATTTACATGACATTATATTGCATTGTCACTAAATTTCCAATAACTTTAGGCAGCTTTCAACTAAACCGCAACTTAATAAAATTAAAACTGTAACAAACCTGGAAATGCAAAGTACAAAAGAACAAATCAAAAAACAAAATGCAAGAAAGAGAAAAAAGGAAGGAAGAAGGAAGGAAGGGAAGAGGGAAGGAAGGAGAAAAGGGAAGAAGGAAAGAGAAAGAAAGAAAGGTAGAAAAAAGAGAAAGATTTCCACAATCAACCTATACTCCCAAGCCCTAGGAAATAATTTTATTAGGTTGACTGATACCAATTGTAGTTGACTTACAACTACAATTGAGCTCAAAATTCCTCTGGTTAAGTAAGACCTTTGTTAAGTGAGTTTTGCCCGATTTTACAACCTTTCTTGCCACAGTTGTTAAGTGAATCACTGCATTTGATTAATTAGTCACCCGGTTGTTAAGTGACTTGCTTCCCCATTGACTTTGCTTGTCAGAAGGTCGCAAAAGGGGATCGCATGATCTTGGGACACAGCAACGGTCATGAGTATGAACCAGTTGCCAAGCATCTGAATGTTGGCCATATGAGCATGGGGGATGCTACAAAAGTTGTAACTCTGAAAAAAATGGCCATAAGGCACTTTTCTCAGTGCTGTTGCAGCTTTGAAGGGTCAATAAATAAAATGTTGTACGTTCAGGACTAACTGCATGATAGAAGCAAATGCTTCCGCCGCTGATCATGTTCTAAATGGAACATGATTGTGTCATGCAGTGTACATGAACATGGCAAGTAGATCTTTAGTGCTAGATGTGTCGTAAGAAACTTTTCTCAATGTTTCTTGGCTTTCGTTCAGCTGGCCATCTCTGGTGAGCTGGGACCTGAGTTGTTGAGTCAGTGGAAAGCTATTGGGAAGGAGTTCCCCGAAGCCGATCTGGAGACTTTTGAAACTGAGTGTTTATTTTTGATGAAGAAGCATGTTTTGACTCAGGGAGAGGTGGAGAAACAGGGAATATTATCATCTAAGCCAGTTGATAGCAATTTAGAATAGAGAACTGATGAGTCAGATCCCATGTAGAAGGAAGATCAAAAACTTTGTCGTCAGCATTGATGGTAGAAGACAAGACAATAACAGAATAACAGAGTTGGAAGGATCTTCTATCTAGTCCACCCCTGTGCTCAAGCAGGAGAATCTACCGTATGTCATTTTTTAGATCAATCTCTTCTTAAAAGCCTCCAGTGATAGAGAGCTACAACTTCTGGAGGCAAACCATTCCACTGATTAAATGTTTATCACTGTCATGTGGTTTCTCCTTAGTTCGAAGTTGGATCTCTCTTTGATAGGTTTGCATCCATTGCTTCTTGTTGGGTGCTCAAGTGCTTTGGAGAAAAGGTTGACCAGCCCCCTCCTCTCTATGACAGCCCCTCAAATATTGGAAGACTATTATCATGTTACCCCCCCCCCCAGTCCAGGGATCACCAACCTTTCAGACCTCAGGGACCACAAAATGCATAATTTTAAATCCCGTGGACCACTAATATGAACTGCCTAATGACTGGGTGGGTGGGCGTGACTAGGTGGTCATGTGACTGGGTGGGCATGGCCAACTCGATGTCACTCACATCAAGGAGTGCCTCACCAGCCTCTACTCGCCCCTCCCCTCCCCACCACTCCTCGACTGTCCGCTTGGGCTCCTTAGGGCCCCAACAGGAAGCAGTTGCTGGAGCTAAGCAGCCACCATGAGAAAGAGTTGGCAAAACAGCTCAGTTCAAATTGGATCTGACCGAGAAGGAGGCTCAGCAGAAGCAACTCACAGAGGACTACGAGCATAGGCTTTCCCAGCAGAGGGAAGACCTGTGGGAGTGCAAGGCCAGGTACTGGTGCCTGGAGGCTCAGCGGACTGAGACGGTCAGACGGTTCCAGGCCATGATGCAGTCCCACTGGAACAAGGCCTTCCGGCTCTTTGCTACCAATGGCACTTCCCTTCAGCCTTCCCCCAAAGCCCCCTCCAGGAGGCTGAAGCAGACCCCAAGTGGAATTTTTGCCTCCCTCTGACCTACACAAAAATCCCCCAAAGGGGGAGACTGTGCAACAACACAAGCATTCATTGCACGTATCCGGCCCAGGCGCCGTAGTTTGAGGACCCCTGATTTAGTGCAATATAAAAAATGCAAATAATTTTTCTACAGACCACCAACATTTTCTCGCAGATCACCAGTGGTCCACAGACCACCAGTTGGTGACTGCTGTCCTAGTCCTTCTCTTCATTAAACCAGAGATACCTAGTTCCTGCAATCATTCATCAAATGTTTTAGTCTCCAGCTTCCTAATCATCGGCATTTTGCTTTTTTATACACTATTTCTAAAGTCTCAACATCTATTTTTGTAGCATGGCGATGAAAACCAAGTGGAGGTGAGGGTTAGGAAGGGAAGGGTCGAATTTAATGCCTTACCTTTTCCCATTTTGCAGCCTTAAGGGGAAAAGGCTGAGCTTCACTTCCAGTTTGAGCGTCTGACGCAACCCCCAGCCAAGCTCTCAATGACGCAAGAAATGTATATTTATTTAAACTTCCTGGACTTTTCAAGGAAGGGACTAAGTGAAGCCTTCTATAAGCAGCATCAGCAAGGATAAGGTTGTTTGTTTTCTTGGGCTTAGATTCTTTGAAAAGATTTGGAAGTGGGTGGAGGGCA